ACAAGTCCTCAGAAACTGTTCATTAACACTCTTATTCCTTTTTAATACTACTACTACTAATAATAATGATAATAAAAAAGATTTGATATTTAATACTATTGTTCAAATCATCCCGCGGGCCGTATTGGACACCATAGTGGGCCGTATTCGGCCCGTGGGCCGTATGTTTGACACCCCTGGTCTAAATGTATTTTTACTGTCTAAATATATGTATTCAGCTAGTGTAAACATGCAGGATGCTATCACGACGAATGGGAGGCTGAGACTGAAGCATTACCCTTTGTTTCCACTGAGAGACGTGCCGCGTGACTCATTTCCCCACGTGTACAAGTTATCTTAGGTCAGCGTTCATGGTTAGACTTTTGAGATTCAGATTGAGTTCTATGTAATTTTATTTCGAATTGGTCGGTTCGACTTTTAAGAAATTCGAGTTCTAATGAGTTCGAGAACTGAGATACCACTGTACATGGGAGTCATCGGCAGGTCTGAGCACACTGAAATCCGGCCGATTTCGGTCCCTGGCTGATCGATCGCTGCATTTCTACAGGCATTCCATCCAAGGAATACTCCATCCTTGTGCGCTGGGCTTCCTTGGATAAGTTCCCATTCATGACCTGGATCAGGATAAGTGTTCTGAACTTGGATGGATGGAAGTTTTGTGCATTTTGTGTACTGAATACAGAAACTTTCCTGGGTTTGTTTTTGAGCAATAGAGAAGGTAAAGAACAGGTATGTGTATCACATGAGGCTGGTATTTCAAAGCCTGCTCAGTGCTAATTGTTAATTTTTTTTCTTAAAGTTGCCTTAATTACATCGACTCCAAAGCCAGCAAGGACTTCTCAGAGCAGCCTAATTATAGTGGCCAAATTCAGAATAGGAAAAACAGAAACACAAACAGAAAAACCTTAGTGTAAAGGATAGATGAGTCTGGGTCAGCATCAGCAATGTAGAGCGTTGACAGTGATGAATTGGGATGATGAAAACAATGTAACGTTAGCTAACAGGTAGCAATGCATCAGCAGGTCAGAGGATGATGTGAGGGCCTGATACGGTCAATATTAATCATACTACCAAGCCTTCTGAGCTCCCTTGCTCTCCACAGCACTGGTTGTTCACAGTTCTACTAAAAGTATATCATCCCTCCCTGGGAATTGTCAGCCCCCCAGATGTCACGGGCCTGCAAAATTTGTTGCATAGTAATTGGCTTTTCACTGTTTGTGAACCATCGGCTAAGCAGAAAGTCTCAATTAAATTAGTTTGATTCTTTAAAATGGTGACTAGGCATTTGTTTGCTCATCTTTAATATTAATAATAAACATTAGCTCATTACGGTTACTAACCAACTTGAATAAATGTCCTCAGTCATTTTCTTTCCCTTTTAGCTACCTCTCTTTTAAAAGGTGCTTCATGGTGACTTATACGTTAAGGTGGGAAACTTCCTTAAAAAACCTGGAATTTAAAGGAATTGTGCAAAATTTGAAAACATTCATTCATATGTAAAGGTCTTTATCAAAACTGGTTTGACTCTGATGTAACTTGAAGAGTTGAAAAACTTTGGTAACTATAAGCAATAATAAGAATTAATATATGGCTAATTCTGATACATTTTAGGCAGTATAAATATTTTTGGGACAGTTCTAAACATATGAATCATTATATTGATATCAAACACAATAAACTTTAATGCCACTTAATTCCTATAATGCTAGAACAGATACAAAATATTTCCTTAGGTGTAGTTTGAAAATTTTATTAAATCAAGTAGCCTATCCTAGGCATTACCCTCAGTAACATGTAAATACACAAACAAACTGGATCAAACTTCCATGGATATATTGATATGGCTTATTTGGTTTTTGTAAGATGGATAAAGGTTATGTTGCTGTGCTGTTTAATTACTAAAGCAACATATCTATCATGAATAGCTTCTCTTAACATTGTGTTGTGGCTTCAGAAATGTTGCATTTGGTCCATTTGCAAGTTCTTTTCTTATAACTATACTGTTACGCAGTTTTGTAGAAATTCAACTTTCAATTTTGAATTCTGCAGAACAGTAACTGGTCCATATAACAGCAGGCAAAGTAATTCAGGGTAATAGAAGAAAATAAAAGTAGCAATGGAAGTTGTACCAAATCATGTCCTCCAGAGAGTTTTATCTTACGTACTTAATTTGCGGTTTATGTTCAGTGCAATATTACGTAGCATTTAAGTTGCACTAGATTTACGACAAGGCTAAGTTACAGACCAAGAGTAATATTTCCCATAAAGTGCATAGGGTCATACTTTTTGAGACCAATAAAATTCATAATCAGTGGATGAATTCAATGCTTAACACACCCTATTACTGGCATCCAACCGATTCCAATAACTTAATTTCTAAGCTGTTTAACCAATTCTACCTCATGTCACATAGATGCACTTAAAATGGAAATTTCACTTCAAGTGCTATATTGACTGTTTGGCATACAAGGTCCTGATAAATTCAAGGAGCTTTTGACTAGTATTTTTACACTCTGTGGTACCATAAATACATTGATTTTCCCTTCTCCTTGAAATAAGCTGTTATAAAAAGACATCCTATTGCAAATTACCTAACATAAAAATAACAATTTATATACAAATGTAGACAGCACCATCATTTTACACTCGATAAGGGTTAAGCAAGAAACAGGTGCAGTGTTTCTGTGTATTATCAGAGCCGTTGGAGATATATTGGCTGAAGTAAAAAGAAAGGAGCTGTTTCTTTGTGCAACACTGTGTTAGCAACCCTTCTGTAAAATCATTATCACTCATCAATACAAATGATGTCTATACATTGTTAGTTGCTGGAAATAGATTTTGTGGCTGTCTGCATTATTAATATAGTACTATGCCCATCACCTGGCTATATTTAAACTCAACCTTGGTTCATCACCAGTGACAATAAAGCACAATAGATAGAAATAAATAGAAGTAAACCTTGAGAGCTCACAATAAAAAATTTCAAATCCATTCTTCAGATTATATATATATATATATATATATATATATATACATACATACATATATATATATATATATATATATATATACATACATACACATATATACACACACACACTACCTATATAGATTTGAAAATATCACAGTGTGGGCAGTGGTGACTTAATGGTTAGGGAAGGGAACTTGTAGTTGAAAGATTGCTGGTTCGAATCCCCAACCAGCAAGGTACTGCTCCCCAGGCGCTGAATTAGCTGCCCCCTGCTATGTCACATATGGGTTAAATGCAGAGGACACATTTCGTTGTGGTGGGTCAACAATGACCACTGATCACTAAGTTAAAATATGCATATATAAAACATACATGTGTGCTTATGGTATGTGGGCTTCATCATGGTATAATAGCATTGCACATTCAGTAATGAATTTGAAATTTTGTTCTGTTTCTGGGCTAGCAATATACCGTACGATACTTTCTGCTGATGCCGGGCGATGGCAACATCTCTCTGGTGACTGTGAGCATAAACATCTCATACAGTGTTTGACATCATATTGCATGGTGCTTTTTTGTCCTGTGCTTAACCAAATTAACTCAATTTATTTACTTTTCCATTAGTGGTATTTTGTTAGTTACAGTAATTTACTGTATATACCTATTTACTGCATCATATTCATACTCGACTCCACTTACTATGGACACAAACCATTTGCCTAATCCCTGCTGCAGACGAAGAACACCCCTTCTTGGCCTTGGTATTCCATGATTGCAGTGGCCTTTATCAGCAGGATAATGCATCCTGCCACACTGCGATATTCAGGAATGGTTTGAGGTATATGGAAAAAGAGTTCAAGGTGTTGACTTTGCCTCCAGATTCCCCAGAATTCAATCCGATCAAACATCTGTGGGACGTGCTGGACAAACAAGTCTGATCCATGAAGGCCCCACTGCGTAACTTACAAAACTAAAAGGATCTGCTATTAATGTCTTGGTGCCAGATACCACAGAACATCATCAGAGATCTTGTGGAGTCCATGCCTTGGCAAGTCAGAGCTGTTTTGGTGGCACAGGGGGGACCTGCACAATATGTGACAAGTGGTTTTAATGTTATGGTTCATCGATGTATGTACAGCCATGGAAAAAATGAAGAGACGACTCTATATTTTTAAACAAATCTGCATTTTTAAATCCTGGTTTAATCATGGTTCTGCTGGAAAAAGGTTA